TATGGAAGTTGTTCAGACGGAATGGAGACAAATTCTTTGTTGCAAATACTTTCAGGGACAAATCTTATTCTGATCTGTGGCAAATCCTACTGACCAATGACCCATACAAGACTGACTTCTGCAATGTACTTCATCTTGTGAGAATAATGCTCACTCTTCCAATCAGCTCCGCAGGGTGTGAGAGAGCCTTTTCTGCACAGAAGAGAATAAAAATACAGAGCAGCCTGTCTGTACAGAGACTGTCAGACTTAATCTTGCTTTCTTCTGAAGGTTCAGATCTGGCTGAATTCAACCCAGAGAAATCCATTGACAAGTGGATGGCAAACAGCAGGAGAAGGATTTCCCTTTCCAGTCCCACTTTATCTTAGATCAGCGTTAATATAGTTAATATTTGTGTGACATTTACCAACCTGATAGGAAAATTGAAAATAAGGTAAAACCCTGTTGTTAAGAGTGTTACAATAACTGCAAATCATGACTGAATATTTCTAAATGACACCTTTGCCAGGTAACAGTTGAAGTGAATGTAATATTTTTATGAGGTTGTTCTTGTTGTTTCAAGTTTAATAATATTGAAACTGATGCGATCTTCAAACTTGCATTTGTCAGTTGACTGAATTATCCTGAGTGATATTTGCCAGGTAACTGTAAACAGTTCTACAGTTTCTAGACTCAATATAATGTATTTATGATCTTTTTGTTTGAGGTTGTTTAGTAATATTGAAACTGATGAGATCTTGAAGACTTCAAATTTGCATTTAAATTTTGTCAGTAAGTTTACTGAATATTTCTAAATGACACCTTTCAAAGTTTGCCAGGTAACAATTGAAGTGAATGTAATGTCTTTATGAGGTTGTTGTTTCAAGTTTAGTAACTAATATTGAAACTGATGAGATCTTCAAACATGTATTTGTTAGTTAACTGAATTATTCTAAGTGATATTTGCCAGGTAACAGTACCACTGAATGTAATTGTTCTTGAAATTTCTAAATTTCCTCCCATAAATTTCATCTGTATTGTCTTAGAGAATTAGAAAATAAAACAAAACTTCACCTGGAATTGTTTTATTCATAACATTAGAGTGAAATAACATTACATGGATTTGGCTAGTAACTTTTCTATTTGGCTAGTAAACGAAAATATTTAGTTGTCAAAGGTCAACTAAAGGTAAATTTGTCCATAGAGCCCTGACCAATTAAGAAATTTACTAGGAAAGAAATTAAACCTAGGAATAAACCATGGATAAACGATAGAATACAAAAATTAATGAGAATCCCCAAGATTATACACGTAGGCAAATGAGAAAACACAACTCTGAAATTAATATCTACATTTACAAAAAATTTAGAAACCATGTGGCTACAGAATTGAAGATAAGCAAAACTAATTATTTCCATGATTATTTTCCAGCTAACACTCAAAATATGAAAAAATTATGGTCTGGCATAAAAAAATCACTCATTAGTTACAAAAACCCTATTATTTATACTATCAATAATATTGAAAGCAGTAATGAAAATAAATGTAACATCTGACCCAGATGAGATATCAAATGTTTTGAATGGCTATTTTGTTAGTGTCGTAGAAAATATATCAAAGAATACTCCCCAAACTCCTCTTGATTACCTCTCTAGCAAAAATATAAAATCTTTATTTCTTATAGCTGTTACACATTTGGAAATTACAGATATTATATCAAATATTAATCAATCTAAATCGACTGGCTTCAATAGTATACTTGTTAAATTATAGAAAAATTCTTAGATCTTTTACTTCCCAAGCTCTTGCTCAACTTATTAACCAGTCATTCTGCCAAGGTATTTTTCCTAAATTAAAAACTGTCACAGTTATACCTATTTTAAAAAAGGGAGGCTCAGCATTACCAATCAAACTATAGGCCGATTTCTCTTCTACCAGTATTTAGTAAAATATTTGAAAAACTAAATGTACAAATGTCTATTCTTTCTTCAACCACCACAAATTTATTTATTCTTTACAATTTAGATTTCAAGCCAAACACTATTGACCATACTTTGATAAGTATGACTGAGGCTATAAGATCTGCCTGGGATCAAAGAATGATTGGATGTGGGATCTTTATTGACCTTCAAAAAGCATTTGATACAGTCAACCATGAAATCCTACTGTCAAAACCTCATCATTATGACATCAGAGGAAGAAATGTTCAAATCATACTTATTTGATAGAGATCAATATGTTTCAATTGGTAATATTAATCCATTCCTTTTTCTCATCTTCATTAACGATTTACCAAATGTATCAAAAAGGTTAACATTTTATTTATTTGCTGATGATACTAACATTTATTGTGAATCAGAATCTATGAAAACACTATTCAAAACTGTTAACACTGAACTCAAAGCTGTTAAAAAGTGGCTTGATGTTAACAAATTATCACTCAATATAAATAAGACTAATTATATTAATCTTTCATTCTCCAACTATTTTATTTGACTTCTAAACAAGAAGATAAATAGATTACATTAGAGATCTATCCAAGTACTTTAAAATGATATGTAATTTAGCTTTGTAAGTGAAAAAATGGCAGTGATATTGATATTTAAACCTCAACTATCTTCCAAAATTCACTTTTTTAGCAACAGTTAAAGAGTCATAAATCTGGAACCCTTTGACCTAGAGATGTAAAATAGGCACCATTCAATTTGTATCATGAAGCTCTATAAGTGTACCAAATTTGAAAAAGAAAATCCATGTTGGTGATGGTCAAACCCTTGTTGATTTCACATGGAATGAAATTGTGTGTGTGTGTGTGTGTGTGTGTGTGTATACACAGGTTCAGCTTGACATCTAGAGTAAGCTGGAGTTTTAATAAGTGTTCAAGACAAGCAATCCTCATAGAAAGTCAACTACTCATCAAGACTGGAGAAAATTTAGTGTTTGGAGAGGAGGATTCATAATCACTTCATTTTTTTTAATAAGCATTCTTTTTAACCTTGTTCAGTCCAATATTCTATTAAATGTGTTATTCTCTGATTTATGTGCGAATGTATAATTACTGGTTTACCATGAGAGAAAGACTGAGGATATAGCCATATACCAAAATAGCACCTAGCAGAAAATATACAGAAAAAAGAATTTATCTTGACATTTTTTTAAATGAGGAATTATCATTATTGTATGAACACAATCCTTCTTCAAGTGTGTTGTCATATTCTATAAACTTCACAGAATTTTAAACTGGACTGTTTCTTCAGTCCACAGGGGTAGATGTTATCATTCCACTTCCCATGTTTAGGGAATATTTTCATATCAGTTAATATTCACTTTATACTTATTCAACTTTATCTTGTCTATTTCTTTCACTGAACCAGAGTATGCAACATTTTGACACTACCAGACCCAGGATACAACATTGGAACCTTGTAAGTATAACAACCAAGATGAACATATGCTGGCGAGCTCAATCTTTTTTCAGATATTCCTACTAAATTTGATGTATAGTTAAAAAAAAAAAAAAAAAAAAAAAAAAAAAAAAAAGTTAGTTTGCATATGTCTCTGAGCATTTTAAGAGTTGTGAAACAGCATTTGTCTGCTTGAGTTTTGAGTTTGCGTTGAAAAGAAACAAGAAAAATAACATTTCTCAAAAACAGTAACTATTGTTCATCTCACAGCATAATGGTCTTTAAATTAATTGATAATTTATTCCTTATTTGGTGCCCAAAAAATAAAACATTGCTCTAATGTGCATCAAAGTTTTCATTCTGTATGTCTATACATATGTTGGACATAACTCTGGGGACCAATAGTCAAAAATTAAGAAAAAAAGAAAAATTAAATAAAAGCCCCAATAGAAAGCTACAGCAAAAAGATATGCCTTCAAAAACATTACAATCTGTGATGTGTGTTAACAGATGAAAATCTAGAAACAGACAGCTCACATGCAGAGAAAAATACTACACTCTCTCTCCAAAAGAACTTTACAGTGGTAAAAATTAAGTCATAAAAATACATAAAGGCAAAGAAAAATAACAGAAATACAACTAAAGTTCTGGTACATCTTGGAGTGTATGTTGAACAGAATCAGTTACCATAAAGGACCATGACAAAAGAGTATAGCTCTTAAACCCTAAGTAGAATAAATAAAAAAAATATATTCATCTGACTAAAATACAAAGTAAGAATTGACAGTGGTAAGGGGAATAAAGAAATGAGGATAAAATAGTAACATCAATATCTTTGGACATAAACTGGAAACATTTTGTTTACAAAGATACAAATATGAAAATTTGAATTTGAAAATGTTAATTTCTAGCTTATTTCGAAGGAACCTATACAAGGGGCACTGAGTAGTTCTTGGCCAAAAATCTGACCAAAGATAAAATATTTTAGGGAAGGTATACTTTGTTTGTGTGTATGTTTATATAACACACACAAACATACACACAGGGCTAAAGAAAATCAGAAACCTACTCAAGGCCAAACACAACTACCAAGATTCAAAGTTAAAGAGAACAGTTTATTGCAAAGCTAATAAAAAGATAACTGAGGCTTTTCCCATGTGAGCTGTTCAGTAATATCTATGTGCATGTAAATGCTAACAAATTTCACAGTAAATGAGCAGCTCGGTGTCAGTAATTACAGTTAGATCTTTCTAATTAGAATGAAATAACTATGATATTTTATGATTATCAGATGTTTAAAAAAAAAAAAAAAAAAAAAAAAAAAATGGCATTTATTTAGCCCTGATCAACAGGGAACATTCCTCATCATGATCTCTTTCTTTGGGTTTCTCAGAAAAATATACATGGAAATCCAGTGCAGCTCTTTCATGATAAACTTTCAACTTTGAATTTGTCAATAATAGTCTGTCTTCCCCCTATTCCTCTCCTCTTAAATTCACCCTTTTTGAATAAATCTATATAAAACCTATCAAAGTATAAATAATTAATAGTTAATTGCATGAAATAAATTAAACTTGGTCAATACAGAGATTTTTTAAAAAAAAAAAAAAATCTTACCTTGATTCTGGCCTCTCTCTAGACCGGTGATCAATCACTCTGACAACACACTCTTCCAAAGGTAAATCCTTATTGGGAAGTACATTTTGATCAACTAAAGTGAGTTTCAATTTCTTGAGGTTATGAAGTTCAAGCAGGTTCAAATCATCACGGAATGTCAACAGCTCAGCTGTGATTCTATGTTGTTTCAAAATATGTATTGTTTCTGTCTTTAGGTAGTAATCACTTCTTGGAATGTTCAGTACTGGAACAATAAGTGTTTTGGGAGAACTGTTTATCTGATAATAAAAAATAAAATAAAAAGCACTGATAAGTAAATAATAAAAAAAAAAAATTCATTCTTTTGTTTTCTTTACTTACAGGAAAAAATATTTTCCCCATGTAAGCATAATTACACCCAAAACTGTCATTTATCTTTCAATAAACAAGAAAACTGCTAAATGAAAAGCAGAAATACAAATCAACTTTCTTCATATCTGTTAAATGTAAACTAAAAAAAATAAAAATAAAGCTGTAAGCAATTTATTCTTGTAAAATAAGAAACAAATTCTATGATATTTCAGAACAGAGTTATCAAGTCCTACTCAACAAAAATTTGCCAACTGACTCCTGTAACTTTAAATTCTAATAAGTTAAAATTTCTGATTTCACTGATAATTGATTAACCTATTTTTTAGGTTATATTTTTGGGATATATTTTAATTTCAAGTTCTTTGTGAATTTCAAAATGGTTATGCTAATGACTAAAAGTAAAACTTCTCAATGGCAAAAACAAAGTTGGCTGTTCTTGAACACTTTACAATAGCAACAAATGGGAAAGTGTGTGTGCATGTGTTTTATAAATGATGATAATCATCATGAAAATGCATATGATCCAAAATTAATAGTTTATCAGAATCTCCAAAAATATTAATTTTGGAGATTCTGATAAAAAAAAAAAAAAATAAATTAAATTTTAAGAAATTTGCAGTGTTTTCATCCTAAAGTGTTAGACTTTGTGAATGAGAAAGTCAACAATACAAAAATCAAAAACATTCCATCTATTTCAAGGCTAAAGAAAAATGAGAAATATGCTTGATGCTAAACCTAACTACCAAAATACAAATAATGCTGTCAGAAAGGTTTAAAAACCATAACATTAAACTGGCTGTGAAAAATTAGGTACTTTAATTGCCTGCATACACAACCCGTCTTTTTAAGCTTAAATAGAAAAAAATAGTGAAGAAATTGGAGTTTCCTCTGGAAAGAGGAAAGGGGAAATTGAAGAAGCCAAATGTAAGAAAAGAAGAACTTTGATAAAATCTGAAGAGGCAGTTTGTCTTTATTAAAATAGATGCATGGAAATGTTGCAGTCACTTAGTTTGTTATAAATATAAGATCTGTTGATACAAACAGTAAAATGATAATTCAGACACCCATGCACATGACAATAGCAGTAAATGTATTCTAAAGTTAATGGAAGTCATTTTAGAAGATTTTGAAATCAAAAAGCATGTTCCATATATAGTAACAGTTTCAAACATGTTAAGCACAATAAAGAAAGTACACAAATATTAGATGAATGTGATTGTGCAAATAATTCACAAAGAGCACAAACAGAAGCAAGAATTGAAATTTTTGATGGTATTATCAAAGCAGTATCTAAGTTAATTATAATTCAATATATGCATTGTACTGTTGATACTCCGAGACTAGCAATAAGAGGCAGACTGAAAGATCATCATGCATCTACTGTCATTAACACCTTGAGGAAAGTAGTTGTTGCAGCTATGATATTATTCTGCAGAAACATGGAAATGGAGTCATTTTAGATCAAGCAGCATACTGAAGAGGAAGTATTTATTTAATGATAAATGTGATTGACTAAATGCAAATGATTTCTTGATGATCTGGACAACAGGTTTCAGGAGGTGAAAGCCAGTGGGTACAAGTGATAGAGTTAGAAAGTCTGCTTTCTCACTTTTCTATTATCACCAAGAAGTTGCAATCTGAAGATTTGACACCAAGTAAAATCCTGTTGGAATGAAAGCTTGATGTATCACTTGAACAAAAATAAGCAATTAATTGCTGATAGCTTCCTTATTGGAGATACAATGTTATCTTGCTCTCCACAAGTTGAAAAGTTATGTCTCTGGACAAATTTTTGAACTGATTCAGTGTTTTTTATTAAATCATGAAATGAAAGTTATTGTGAATGACCACTCTTCTAGAACCATTTGTACTAATGCAGGGCTCTAGCCTTGGTTCTACTTTGTTCTTAATATTCATTGACCAACTTCCCAATGGCATCAGCTCTTAACTTGATACCTGTGTTGATGACATAACCATTTATTCCTGTCTCAATAGTAATTCTGGTCAGTTTGATAAGATCAAATTTTCAGCCATCTTAAGTCTGTTAATTGGGACAAAGAATGGCTTGTTAATTTTAATGGCCCCAAAACAAAACTGATCTCTATTAATTCTTTGAGAGACCCTTTTCTGCCTTTCATCATCATGGATGATGCTCACCTCTAGAAGAGTGAATCATTGTACCTTTTCAGTCTAACATTCTTGTCTGACATGAAGTGAAAAACTATATTGAATCTATTGCTAGATCAGATGCTAAGAAATTTAGTTTACCGTTTCATACAAGACAATTTTTCTCTCCAGAATATATCTTACATATCTATGTCTACCATTCATCCATGCTTAGAATATTGCTACCACATATGGTCCAGCTATATATTTAGAGATTCTTGCTAAAATCCAAAGAATCAGCAATATTATTAGTCATGACCTGGCATCTCAGCTTCAGTCACTTTCCCACCATTGTAAAGTTGTTTCCCTGTACCTTTTCTGTATTAATCATATAATTTTTCATTTCATTTAATGAAATGTTTCATGTTCTATTTATTTAAATTTTATATCTAAATAATCCTTTAATCTTGAAAAGGAAAGGAACTTATAGAGAAAGATGTCCTTTATTTTCTTGTATACTTTGTTTTATATCTCATTACTTTATAATTTGTAACTTTTTAGTAAAAAAAAAAAAAAAAAATACATCAATGTTTTTGTTTTCTAAGTTGTCTTTTGTTTAAATTAAAATTACTGAATGTTTGTTTCTTTAATCAATAAAATAAAAAAATGTCACAATGGTACAACTTTTGACCTAAACTTTAACAGGTTAAGGTTCCCAAAAGTAACCTGATGGTTCATGATGGCAGTGTTAAAAAACTTTTTGTTGCATGCTTGCAATCAATATAGGAAATATTGAATAAATATAAACATTGATTTTCCAAGATAAAAGGATCAAAATCAGAAGTTTTATGCACTGCATCGACAACCCTATTGGAAAGTGCTTGCTATGGAAATAATAGAGCACTGTAATAATCTGTTAAAATAGGAATACATTCTGAGAATTTACACAACAGAGATTTGTAATAATTATAGCAACAAATAGAAACTGATGACCAGAGAATTTGATTAACAAATTAACTTTCATATAACATTTTTTTGAAGATTTAGTCTTTTCAGTATTTAAATAGTATAATATTTTCTATAAACTACCCAATTTACTCTTGGTGAATTCTATAATTTACAGAATAAAAACAAATTGCCTAATTAGCATTTAAGATTAGGTTTGGAATTCAAGGAAAGAAAAGTTTTACAAAACTCTACTGATAGCGACAGATTATTTTTTAACAATGAAAAAAGTCAGATTCAACCAAATGTAAATAAATGTCATACAGTCTGTAATGAAATATAATTATTCTAAAAATGTAAATTATTCAATAAATCAGTAAATATTCAATACACTTATCTCACCAACTGACTTCAAAGTTTTATGTCAAATTGCTCATGGTTAGATTTTCAATAAATTAATAAAGTCTTAAATGATAAATATTGCAGCTTAAATATTATAAAGCCATATTTGACATGAGGAGAAATTCACCAAAAAGTACAAAAGACATTCTATGTTCATTCTATTTAATAAAACATGTTTAAATGAAATATTATAAACAATTTTTTAAAGCTCTTATTTCAAACTTTGTTTATGTAATGTAAATACAATTTAAAAATATATATGTTATAATAAATTTAATTATTAAATTACAAGTTAAAAGTTGTAAATATAATTTTTGTTTCTTTGAAGTTCTTATTTCAACTGATCTTTTTCACAAGAAAAAAGATTTTTTTAAAATAAATAAAAATATATATGCAACATGCAAAAAAGTTTTAATTATTGTATTATAAGTTTTAAATTATAAATAGTTTTAGAGTTAGAGTGTCAAGTGCATCATCTTTTTCTATCAGTCATTAATTAGAGTGTTTCTCAGTTCCCATTCTTTCTATTGAAATGTTTTCTTGCACTAAATGGATCTAACTGTAACTATTTTGCTCTTACAAACAACAAAGAAAAAATATTTCCATAAAACAGGTGAATTAATTTATTATTAATAGTAGTAGCAGCATTAGTATTGGTCTTAAACATGTAGTAACCATTCCTCACTTTCTGGTTAGCTTCAACATTTGGAAATCAGAAAAATGAACCATGATGATTTTTTTTTTTCACTATTGACTGAAGCCCAAGATTATTTTTTCAGAATGAGCAATACAAATACAGAAAAACCTATACCTAAGTTTCATAGAAGACATAAAAAATAACATTTGATACAATATGGCATAAAACCCTTCTTGAAATGTGAGGAAGGCTTGATTTATATGCAAAGAATATTTGAGTAATCTATATCTTTTAATGGGAACAAAAAACTTACATGTGGATAGAGAATGAGTTCAGTGAGTACACAAAGATGGTGAAACTCCAGAGACAGACAAATTCAGCTCATTTATAGTATCTTAGAGGAAAAGTCCATTTATAAAGAAGTGCAGTAGCTTTTAATTCAGGAGGTTCCATAATATAATTTTAAACAAAATGTATAATCTTATTTCCAAATAAATATAAAGTGTAATTGCAAGTAAATTAAAAAGATAAACATTAATAAAATTATATCTTTTCTTCAGCATAAGTTTTTTATACTGAAAGCAAGATATAATTTTAAAAAAAAATTTAATCAATTTACCCCAGGCAAGGTGTTAATGCCACTATGATACAAAGGGATACTGGAAATGAAAGAGAATGAAAAAGAATTTATAAGGAACTGGAAACCAAATCCTAAACAGGAAACAAGGGATAAACCCCTACTCCTGTTCCAAAAACAAAAGAAGCCTTTTGAACAGGAGTAGAGGTTTATCCTTTGTTTCCTGTTTTGAAAGAGAAAACAGGAAAGCACTTTTCTTTTAAGCACATATTAATTACAAGGCATGAGTAAATGCACTAGAATACAAGGTTTTTTTTCTTATTTGAAATGAAGTAGATTTTGTATCGTTCAGTTCAGAGTAGGTTCTAATATCAATAATTTTTATCTGATTTTCATTTAACACAGCAGCTAATTAAATAAAAATTATAAAATAATTGACAAATGTTAAGAGAAACAGGAGAGATCTGTTTCTTCAAGTGTCACTTTAATTCTTTTTGTTGACATATTTTGGCTTCTTACTGCTAGTAAAGTTCAAAATCTTATTTTCATAGAAAAAGTTAAGTTAAATTGTCTTAATATTTTTTCTAGTTTAATAAAGAGCTAACTTCATGTCTGATATTAAAACCTGACAATGTTCAAACATAAAATGCCAATTTATGAAAATTACAGTTAAGTAAGTATTCAATAAAGGAATAACTGTCCAATTTTTTACAATGTTACTACCTTTCATTGCAATTTCTAACATAAAAAAGCAACTTGTGACAAATTTATATGGAAGCAGGAGTTGGAAGGGAAAGCAGGTAAGATGAGATGAGGCTGGGGGAAAAAAAAGTGAATTTAAGCTGAAATGAGCAGAAGGTTGCTTTTTTTTTTATCTCTTGGCTACTACCAGGTTGGACTGTGGGTCTTTACTTGTTCAAGTCTAGGCTAAGGAAACCACTTTTGCTCTTTTTTATTGTGGGTGACTGCTTTACTTGTGTTCCACAAAAAAGGTAAAAATAACTTATTTATTTTGTCATTTAAAGCACATTTTGGAAAAAATAAGAGAAACACTGTCGAGGAAGATTAGAATAAGCAGCCAAATAAGACTGCTTAGTGGTAAGGGAAACATAGATGCATGAAAAAAAAAAAAAAAAAAAAAAAAAGTAGTGAGGCAAATGGTAAAGGGGCAGAAATTTCCTGATGTTGCCAGTTTCATTCTATTATATTTGGAAGGGAAAGCATGAACACTTAGAAGTGAGCCATGATGAACACTTAGATATGGAAAAAAAATTGAAGTTCAGTTAAAGGAAACATTCACAGAGAGAACATTTCTGACATATGGTAAGCTGGAAATGGTAAGACAAATCATGGAGAAGTTGCCTCCTATTACAAGCATGGGTATTGGAGATTTGATGGTGAAGGCTGAAGGTGCTAATCGTGAATAAGGTCCAAGATCTTGTGTAGTGGTTACTGAGGGACAGGGAGAAGGAAAAAAAACACTGCAGATGGGGAGGAATCAAAGAGAAAAAGAGCAGGCATGAATGTTTTGTTGCAAAAAGGTTCATTTGTTTGGAGTACCAGTTGTACAGTCATTTTATGATCACAATTGGTGAGACTACTGCAAGACTCCACAGGCAAAGCACGACCACCTGACTCGTCAGCCTCTGCTGTTTGTTCTCTCACTAATGTTCATTTTATATAGTGGCTGAGGCTCAGAAATTTGTATAAGCCACAATTTCATCTTGCAATTTCTCCAAGCTACAAGATCAGGTTTTCCTTAAACTGTAGCTTTTAGATCAGCTATGTTTTCTTCCAAGTATCTTGCATGCAGGACACGTATGAGCACATTTTGTTCTAGGAGGTTAGCCATTTTCACTTATACATCCTGAAAGTTCAAATATTTCAGATGTTGGGACTGCATATGGTTAGGAATTAAGGAACTGAAACCCAAGTTGACATGCTAACAGTGTGGTCAGGTGGGCCACGACAAGATACTATGTTCAGAGAAAGTCAGCATGTGGCTGCTGTATCAGTGGTTATCTCTTCAATCTTATGTACATTGCTAGCTCTTAAAGTGCTGGTAGATGAGAAGCAAGGACCTTTGTTGACAAGTTAAGAAGGTGGGATGAACAAAATAAGGATGGTCAAGGAGAGCGATGTGAAATGCAGATGAGGATTTAGGCTGAACCAGCACCTAAGATTATGGCAATAATCCTCAGAATGACACTGGGAAAGGTGGAAAGAATGATTAGAGCTACCAGCTCTTTTATAAATTACATTCTCATGGAAAAGACATTGATGTCAGTAGCAGAAGTTGTGGATCACCTGAAGAAATTTAGGCTGATTGTAAAACTACCAGAATTGTTGAAAGTGAGGGCAGCATTAGGGCTCAAACCAAAGAAGGATGGGGTCAACAAAATGTTTTTTTAGAGGGGGACTTATATCCTGAGGATGAAAGATGAAATGAGCAGAATGGGATTGTTCTCAATATGCAGGAGATTGTTTAGGGACTACCTTATTGCAGGGGGTTTCCAAATTGCATGCAGCAATGTTAAAAATAATAGTGAGCTGGGAAGATAAAAGACAGTTGCAACAACAAGAGATATGGAGGAAGTGAAGAGAGAAAAACCAGTGAGAAACTGGTATGTTTCCAAAACAGAGAAAAGGGGTCATATGGTGTAATGTTAGTAGTGGGCATTTTTCTTGAGGTAGGGGATGTTGAATCAGAGGATATAGCATGACTAAGGTAAAAATTATAAGTGCAGCCAAATTAGATGCCATTTTAAGTGTACTGATGTGGGAAGTTGCTGAATGTAAAAATCAGGACTGATTCAGCTACTGTGCTTGGTTTGAAAGGAGAGAGTATAAACAGTAGCTGCTGGAAAATACTTATTAAACATCAACTGGTAAAACTAGCCAAGTTAGTTGCTAATGTGGAGCTAAAACTCCATATAATCATCCAGAAAAGAACAAGGCAAATAATCTTACTAGGGTAAGGAAAACCTGATCAGGGTTACTGGAAAATTCAGGAGATAAGATTAGCCACAGAATGTTGTTTGGAGGATGCAGAGTTGAAAGAATTGCACAGCATGCACCATAGTGGAATAGACAGTTGCCTGTTTTGATAAAAAAAAAAATTAACCTACATGTAACTAAGGAGAGCATTTTGAAGGTGATGAGAAGTTGCAACAGTTGCCAATTAAATGAACATGTGTTAGATGTACACGAGATGAGAGCGGTCCAAGAAAGAAACAACTGAACAAAGCTGGCTATCAATGTGACACATTATCAAAAAGGGTTATATTTTTCAATGGTAAACTATAAACTAAGACAAGTGGCCGAACAAAAGGAAGCTAAAGCAGAGAGTAGACTCAGATGGCAAGGGTAGTACAATGTTCAGTGAAGGCAGTATTAAGGGATAACAAGCAATACTTTCATTCAAAAACACTAAAAGAGATATAGAACAAATTGAAAATTACTTAAGAGCTACATATAGAAAAACATCAATGAATGGTTAAAGCAATGGCTGAGAGGGGCTCATATTGCCAACTGAAGTAATATTTTGATACAACATGACATCTAAGTTGGGGATGGTCATGGAGTTGGTGCCCAAAAGGATTGTATTCAGATATGAATATGCAGTCCCACAAAGGTCAGAGAAAGAGATTTGCCTTGCTTAATGTGTAACAATGAAACAGCATGAGGAAGTCAGGCATGGATACCAAATTATAAATAGTTGTATTTTTATTTTGTATTTGTTAACTTAGCATAGGGTGAAATGATTTTTAAGATTAGGGATAACATGTGAGGTGACTGGTGAGCGTGGAACATGTATGGAAGTGGGGATGAGATAGGAGTGGCAAGGTATAAAATGAACTTAAGCTGAAATGATCAAAAGGTTGATTCATTTTTCTCTTGGATATTTACCAACAGTATTTTTTGTGAATAGGAATTTCCTCATTAAAATCCAAGCTAAATAAATTGTTTTTGTTCTGTTGTGAGTGCTTGGTATACTTGTGTTATAATTTTTTTTTTTTTTTAATTTTCCATTTAAACCATAATTATATAAAAAAATTTAAAAATGGATTTTCTAACTTAAAAGATGACATAACCTGTTCATGTTTGCCATCCCATTAGATTATAATACAGAATTTTACAGTGGGCATTAATGGGTTAACAGACAAAAAAAAATTACATTCTATACCAATTGACATTTGTTGCTATAAGAATCATTTGTGAATTGCATCAAAGTCCTCATTACATTCATTTTAAAGATCATTATTAAATAAATTGCATTAAATCTCTTGTAGCAAATATCAAATATTATTTTTTAGCATCAATATAAATCATGCACCAATCAATAATGAAATAATAGGAAACTCAAAATTTGATCCTTTCCAAACATTTTCTCTATGAATCTATCAGTACTTGAGCAAAGACCTAGGCAAACATGCATTAAAATATGCCTTCCTTTTTATAGAGTAGATACTATAACAAGAAACATTTGGTTAGTAAAAGATTCACTAAGAAAAATGGAAGCAGGTCTCAAACACCTGTTTTATATGATTATTGAAACAAAAATGTGGATAATGTCAGGTCAGAAAAAATTGCTTATTGTGAACAATAATTCATGATAGTTATCTAACATGAAAAATTGGCTTCAAACCTTAATTTAAACTTACTGGTTAAAATTATGATGGTTAGTTAAAAAGGAAAATATAAAATCTATATACCAGAACATTTACCTTACATTTACACAAATTTAATAGTGAAAAGAAAAGAGTAAATTTCTTTTTATCTTTTTATCTTAAAAGACAAGTTTTGTATGTTGTACTTCATACAATAGCAACTTCCAACATGTGCAAAACCAACAATGTATTTTATTCTTTATCTATAAATAAAGTGGAAGATGTAATATGATAAAATCATGAATATTTAAATAAATTGTTAATCTGTTTATTTTGGTTTTTTATGATACTATCTTTCAGAATAGTACCATTGCTATTTATATTGTATTATTAGTCTTCATAAAAATCAATTCTCCATTCAGCCCCTCCACCTACACACACAAAATATGTTTTGCATTTTTATTTCATAAAAGTCAGCATTTTTTTTAATCTGGTATCATTTTATGGCATTACAACTTCATTAATCAAGTAATATTTTATACATATTTCAATGTAATATAAACAATCTGGAGAAAAAGGATTTTTTTTTTTTACATTTTAGTACCTTTACAAAAAAAAAAAAAAAAAAAAAAGTTTACTTACTTGATACAAATAGAATGCTTGAACAAGGGATGAAATCACAGAGTCCAAATCAGCTGCTGCATTCCCTAATACTGCATGGATAGTTTCATAATCAGATATGCATTCCTAAAATGATAAAACAGAGTTTGCTTTGATAAAATTCCAAGAAAAAGAACAAAAGCTATTTTAATAAAAAAAAAGAAAAATTATATGTTAACCAATAATAATTATTTGCAGATTGTAAAAAAAAAAAAAAAATAAAAGTGTGAGATTAACTTTCACTTGTTTTCTCACTGCACAGACAAAAGAAAAATGAGTGCCTATTGTTAGATTTGATCTAATAAGGCATTTGTTTTTTCATTAAGTAACATTAGAAAGAAATATCAAGTAAAAGATTATAAATAATTAAAAAAAAAAAAAAAAAAAAAAAAAAAAAAAAATCAGATTAAAAAACTCACACTAGATGAATGAATATAATTGAAAAGTCCTAGCAAGTATCTTCATCTTTATAAACTAGACTCCTGACTCTTTATGCCTTGATTTGTAAATAACTAAATTTTTATATGCGTATCCGGGGGGGGGGGGTTATAAATTCATAGCCTCATTATTCAGTCATCAAAACCTTTTCTATGGCTTTTCAACATCTTTCAGGTAAATTGCTTTTGATTCAGTAAATTACTCAAGCAATATTTTGATATCTTGAACTTGTTGAAACTGCTAAGCAAATAAAGAGTGTTGCATGGAGTCAACCAAATGATACTCTGAAGAGAAAAGAGTCTGAAGAATATGTTGTAGGTGGAAGAATTTCATATTCCATATCCATGATTGTTTGCAACATGAGGGCAGGTGCCATCCTGTAGCAAAAATGGAAGATGGGTGTTTCAATGCTGACCAATATTCTTTTCTGTGAATTTATGCATAATCAATCTTCCCAACTTCAAAGACACTTGCAAGATTTCCCTAGTATTGTGCAAAAAGATTGGTTGCAGGTACTTTTGCATCAACCTAATTGAATATTTTGTCCAAATATTACCAGATTCAGAACTTATTGATTGAAAAATTGTGACAGAAATAACAAAAATAAGGATACTAGTATAATTCACAGAATAATATGTCAAAATTTCTAATGACATTTAATAATGGAAAAGTTTTTATATAAAAAAAATAAATCCTACAATATTTGACATTTCATGATTTCTAAGCTCCAGAATTCTAACTTGTTATTACAGAATTTTAAAGATAAAAACATTTCTTCATTTATTTTGATCAGAGAATGTCTAGATAAGATCTGACATCAAATCTGTTCAGACATAATTTGAACAAACAAGTATGATAATTATTTTAATTCATTGATTTAATCAAGTTATCCTTATATTCTTTGCTTGCTTTTTTATGTATCCATATGCTAATGTGGTAGACTAGAATGAGAAACAAAAAAGCAGTGTGAACAACTAAACAGATTATATACCCAATCCAATATCAAGTAGAATACAGAACAAATGCTCATAGTGATATTAAAAATGGTGTTTCAACTGATAATAAATCCTTATTATCTAAGTAAAACTGCCAAAAAGAATTTTAGATACTAAGAAAAAAAATTGCAATTAATGAATTTTGTTGGTATTTTAAACTGCCATTATACACAAGTCATAATTTTATTATTGATGTTGTATCATAATATAATGCTTTTTGACTAGTTTCAAAACCAAATATCCAAAGCAGACTTCCTGAAGTAATTTTATTTAAGAGGTTAACCCCTAATTAAAACAGAACAAAAACTTTTTATCCCTTCCTCATTCTGTGTCTTCACTCCCAATACACTTGTTTAAACTTACTACCAAATCATAATATACTCTTCCTTGAATTGATTAAAAAACTCCAAGCCAAGTATAAGGTTTACAGAAATATCCATTTAAACTATAAAAGAAAAATATTTTAATGAAAATAAAGTTTCCTTCACAATCGAGTTTTACAAATAAAAAAGACATTTTAATTAATAAGAAGTTATATGATTGATAAGAAGACATGTTTTGAAATTAAAGTTCAGTCTCTCTCTCTCTCTCTCAGGAAAGAGAGCAATAATAGGACCACATCAATAATATCATATGAAACTTCTATTCTCTCACTGATCCATACAATACTTTTATAGTAACCAACTCCTTCAATTTTGAAGGATCACTGAAACACAATAATGAACAAAAAGCATTAGAACACAAAGTTCAGATGCGAACAGAATCATCCACCAAACATTCATTTAGAAAATGTTAGAAAATGGATTCACCAAAATGTAAAATAATTTAATAAACACTGAATATTAATTAACAAACAGACATTTTTCAGTAAAATAGGTTTTTCAAGTTCACAAAACCTTTTTTCAAATGATATAATATTCTTTTAAACAGAGGATGAGAGTGAAAAAAATGATGTAAGAACAGAGTTCTGTTAGTTCAAGCTATGAGGTTAGACAATTGAATCTACAAGGATATCTTGTTTGATTTCTGTTGATCTTTTGCATCTGTATTCATTTCCTATATTAATCTCAGATGGGATAGAGGTAAACCTTTTACATTGTCTTGCTCAATTCTTCAAGGTTGTTCATTTTAGTCTTTGCATTGGAACCTTTTAATGCAGAGTGAGGATGAGCTCAGCCCTAGGCAGTATCACCTTGTTAGGTGTTTCCAACTTAACCATACTTACTACTTATACAGATAACTGTGTAAGATATTTGGTGATAGTTCAAAAATAACTTATTTGGAGAATTCATCAAAGATACAGAAGAAAATCAAGACTACTGCTATTGTTATTTCATGTATAAAAGAAATCTCCCTTTAAAGAGGAGGGTTGAAATGTGTGTGCTGCTTGATCTGTTGTTATCAATACAGTATTTCTACTCATACACCTATAGTGAGATACTAGAAAGAAAACTGTTTAAGCTCCTCCTTTCACTGGCCAGAATGTTCCAAAAATGTTGAAAATCCAAACACTGTAAAGCCTATCAAGATGTGAGCAAACAGTACTGTCTGAGACAACCTGATCAAACAATTCATCTTGATGAAGTATGCTAATAGTGAGAACATAGTAAACATTCACCATTCATTGACAGTGTTACTGTTAGTTGAAATTTATAAAATGTTTTTAAGATTTTTTCAGAAAAATAGGCTTCTCAAGTCCACTATTATCACTCACTCTAGTATTCATAAGAGTTCCCTTCCTAACCTTTTCTTTAAGGTAGTGCAGAAAGTCATCTTGATTATATCATTTTCCCTTTTAGTTACATATGCTATCCATTTTATGTGCTGCTACTGTTGGAAGTCTTCAAGTGATGTGGTTTTTGTTATTTGATAAAGTTCTTTCTAGTATTGTTTGTGATTTCATGGAAGGCACTGTGGTTCATTAAAAAGAAGCCTTTAGGAGATTGATGAATTCATTAACTGCTACAGCGATTTGAACATGTACAACATGACTTCTTTAAATGTAAAATTGTAAACCATTGTGAAATCTTACCAAAGGGCTCATGTTCAGCATACTCTCTGATTAAGTTTTTTTTTAAAAATCTTTTTAAAACCCTTTTGAATCATGATCTTGATGACCATGTTATTGGACTAAAAAAAAATCTTTCTTCCATTGACTTGTTGCATTAAACATCAGCTTTCTTCTTCTATGTGTCATGTCCATTCAGAACAAGTAATGATGGCTCTCCACAACTTCCTCTCCTTTATAGCTCTTTTGTGTTTTTACTATCCCTCCAACTCCTTGTTCTGCCATTCATCTACACAAGCTCATTAGGTAGGTTACTCGCTGTTTCCCTCTATCCCTCTTGCCTTAAATATATCCTTAAGTGTCAAATTCTCCAACTCCTCTTTCCTCATTGGCTCTCAGAAATTTCAACTGTCTCTTTCTAACTGTAAATGTCCTTTTGTTTCCATTTTCCTTAAAATTGTTCACATGCTCCATCCATGGTATTCTCAACATTCTACATCTTTGTTGCCTCAAATCACCTCTTCATCTATCAGGAAATTGTCCAGTATTCACTGCCATATAAGAGGACTGATATCACAGTTCTTTTCTTTGTTTCTAATGAAATTTTCCAGCTTCTTAATAAAATGTTTAACCTTTAGAAGGTAACTTTTTACTAATTCCAATGTATCTTTGGATTTCTGTGCCACATTTTCCATCAAAGTCTGTTAAAACATTTCCCAAATATTTATATTTCTGTACTTCCTTGATTTTGACATCTTCAATCGTAGCTTCAATCTTTGGCTATTCCACTTCCCTCATAAAAGTGGATATTATTCTATCATGCATCTAACCTGGAGTGTCATCTAAAATAGCAGATAAATATTTTGCAAATGAGAAATGCCCTGTCAGCCCATCCCAAATAGGTAAGTTTGTATAAATGATTTTTTTTTTGCTCAACTTAGCTTGGAAGTAAATGAAGAACCAAAAGTTGATATTATCTCCCTTTCCTTTGTTTACTCATTCATCTACATTACTAACACTATGTTAGGCTATTTTCATATAGTTCAGAATAAAAGGATTAACATGGCTCCCACCTGTTCAATTTGTTTTGTATTCTGAACCAAAATTATTTGATGATCTATACAACAGTCTATAATGCTAAATTATGAATAGTTTTAATATCTTCACCAATCTCTCATCTGAGATCTGTATTTACACTTCATAGGAATTTATGAGTAAAGTCATTGAGAAACTGTAGTATTATGGCAATTATAGTGTGAAAATGGTATTCAGAATAAATGAGGTATTGTGGTAAATGAAATAACATTGCTTGATGTCAAGGAATGCATCTACTTAATTTTGTGTTTGGCTGCATGAAGATCAACAAATTCTCGTCCTCTGTAATGGCTGTGAGTTATACTTTAGTTTTGTATAAACCTAAAAATAAATATTGGAAAAAGTACACTTCTTTTTTCATATGGATTGTAGACCTGAAAAAAGCTGTAGAATAGATCAGCTAAATATGTGCTAATAACAAAAGCAAAAATAAAACAAAAATATATGGAGTTCAATGATCCAGAAAGATCTTGGAATGACAATGAAGCCTCTAAATTACAGAAGGTAAAATAAAAAAAAAATGTTAAAGCAACTGCTATGACTCTTTGGTA